AGCTTGGTAATCGCCTCAGGACTTTTCTTCGTCGCCTGCCTCTGTCTGTCGCTTGCTGAAAATGAGGTCACTGACGTCAGGGACTAGAATTGAATCTTGGAAGGGGCAAGCGCTCTGATTGGTCAATTCTAGAATGGAATGTTGGAAGGACTATAAGCTGTGATTGGCTGCAGCTTCCAAGATTTAATAGCAAAGATTGCTTGGAATGGAGCGCTAACGAAGCTGTTGAGAGACATTAGGATAGATTAACTTCAGTACACTTTTTTCGCCTCTCTTTCTTTATTATGTTATTATATACAAATTTAATATTTAATAAGTATTTACAGACTATCATATAAATATTCTTTATTATGTATTAACACACAATAAAACAAGCATTCAACAAGATGTGTTTGTGAAACACTGTGAGCCCGGTGGCAACAAAGTTCGAAAAAAGCTATTTTTATCATATAAGTCACAGTCAAGGTCACAAGGTCATTGACCTTGGTGTCATTTGAAAGAATTTGATTAGTAGAATATGCAAACCAAATATCTTTCATAGTTAAAAAATTATGGCGAAGGTTAAAGTTTGCAGAAAAAAACTATTTTTAGCATATTGGCCACACTGAAGGTCACAAGGTCATTGACCTTGGTGTCATTTGAAAGAGCTTAATAAGTGGAATTTCATGGTTCAAAAGTTGTGGCGAAGGCTAAAGTTTGCAAACAAACAAACAAACAGACAGACAGACAGACAGACAGGACAAAAACAATTATATAAGCCTCGGATCTAGCGATCCGGGCGCATAAAAAGGCGGATTTTACGCGGGTATATTTATTGCGCACAAAAAAGTGCGCCGTTTCTCGATTTAATTCTCCGTGATTTTAAACTGTCATCTCAAAATATTACTAACCATGTGTTCCTAACATATTCTTTCACTGTTTCCATAACAACACATTCTTTATAATTGTTGTAAATAGCCCTCCAGGCCCTGAAATTGAGATCATTTAAAATTTCGTTTATTTATGCTGCCATGTTGGTTTGCAAGTTAATTCGGTCCAGCGCACTTGCAGATGTCAACTACGAGTCTGAGTACTTGATAGAGAAGTAAGGAATGTATTGAAGTCTCCTTTTCGCGATTGAGGTAAATATTTGGATGAATTAATCCAGAACTAAGGGCAACTTTTTGTGCGCAATAAATATACAGTTTTTACAATTGGTGGCACTGTAGCTCTCCAGTCTGTCAAAATATTTTTTTTTCGGAGAGCTACAGTTCTGCAGCTACATAGCAAAATAAATATCAGTTGAAATAAGCACCATTTAAAAGGTTTATATTTGTGTATTACTGTTGGATAAATTATTTTGAATTTAATTAAGCGTAAATAGACTGATTGACTGGCTTGATTGACTGTGCTACCTGTTTAGTGAGTTTAGTCGTTTCGAAGAACAGCCTATATCTAATTCTTTACACCTTGAATCAAATCAAACAATGTCAAAATGCAGAACAATAATTTATACTTTAATTAATACAATGAAGCAAATTCACTACATACATTTCTGATACGGTAATTACATGTATTTATTTTTACATACTCTAAGAACTACTTTATCATATAAATCTGAACGCGTGTTTCCCAAGTAGAAACGTTTTCTCTGGTGCTCACACAACAAACATTCCTCTCATTATTGAGAATGAAATACAAAGGCTTTGGTATATTCTCAAAAATCCTCAGTAGACATCCTTCATTTGATAATACATGGACATTGTCACTTTCTGTTGCAGCCACATAAATGATATCATCACAGTCAATGTGAAGGCCATAAGAGTGCTGAAGTGAGGAGTGACTATATGTCCAGGCAATGCTACCTTCATCTGTTATAGCAGTCACTTTTGATGTCCTACAATTGCTGTATACAATATGTCCTTTCTTTGTGACAACGACAAAGTAAACACCGCCATCGGTCGCTATGATTTTCAACTCATTTCCTGCAGTGTCCATTTTGATAATAGAATCGTAACAAGCAGCATATAGAAAATTATTCTGAATTGAAAGTCCTAAACACCTACGGCTAACACTGAGTGTACGAATGTTTTCAAAATTATAAAATGAAATAACTTTTATCACTCTACAGTCTGGACAAGATACAAAAAGGACATTATCTTTCCGCTTGATGTCAAATGTTTTTTGTCCGATTTTTACTTTTCGTTGAAAACTCCATGTTTCATTGTTTCTGTTGTACTCAAAAATATTTGTATTTTTCCAGTCTGGAATAAACATTTCGCTGATAGAAAGTAACATTAAACTTCTGGTAGTCGTGTGTGGTAATTTTATCTCCTGACATAATTCCAGATTTAGATTCTTAACATCAAATTCCCCTTCAACATTTCTTTCTGTCTCAATAATAGCTAACTTTCCTATTTTTGAAAGGTTTGTGAAAGCTTTGAATCCAGCATCTATGTCTGACTCCATGGTAAAACCAGATACCTTAAATTTGCTTTTCTTGATATGGCCTAGTGTTTTTTCTGCTGTTTGGAACTCTGCCAAGAAATTGATGCCCTGTAGATCTTTTGCACTCTCTAAATTTGTGATACAATGCTTCATTAAATTCATTCTATCCTGCAACGCCTGGATATTCAATGTAAGTTTTTCTTTACACTGTTTTGTTAGTTTTGACATTTCATCTAAATATTCACTTTCAAGTCTTTCAACATGCTGAATAATACTTCCTTTTAGCTTTTGAACTTCCTCTGTCATCCTATCTGTATTATCTTCTATTTCGGTGATATTACTTTCTTGTTTGATTTTCACCTCGAAGAGCTTTTCCTAAAATTTTCTGATATCTTGTAATAAAACATCCACTGATCCACTGCATCTGATCTTCTCTGCTTTTTCTTCAACAGTCTCCACGCTTTCACATTTTCTATGGTCTGTAGAGCAACACATGGTACAACATGGCTCCTCGTGATCATTACAATATAATTCTATTGGTCTATCTTTGTGTTTAGAACACGTTATATATGTTGATGTTTTCGACATCTCATGTAGATAAGCATCTTTTATCTCGTCAACAGGAGAAATCTTGTGATCCTCAGAGGCGCGACTTTTTCGATGACATTTTGTACAGTTATCACAAAGAGCTTCGGAACAGTTCAGACAATAGTTGCTTGCTGCCTCCTCCTCGTTGAATCGCTGACATGCTTCACATATTTTACAACTTTCAGTCAAACTGTAAATTTTTTCTAACAATTCATTCTTCGGAAGATGTTTACACCATTCAGAGAAATTTTCGGACAAACAAGGAGAAGGCACAAATTTTCGACATAGTGGACAATCAAATCCCACAGGGTTCTCCTTAGCTTGACATTCGGACAAAATATGGGATGATAAACATTCCTGACAAAAAGTGTGTAAGCAAGGTAAATAGCGTGGTGTTTTATATTCCTCGAGACAAATTGAACATTTCCTTAAGTCTTCTTTTTCCATACTGTTTTCATTTGCGAGGCCAAGAGAAAACAGGCTCTAACCGTCTTTGAGTAGGAAAAACCCCTACATAAACAAATACATGGGCGCAGACATTTTGGACACCCAAAGTTGTGCGGAGGAGAAAATGCTACCTGGCGCGTGATTGGTCAATAAGAGAAAAGACTTGATATGTATTTGACAAGTGAAATAAAGTTGATAAAAATGTAATATCAAGACTTGGGTTTCTTTGAGATATGTAGAAGTTACAGGTAAAAATTTGAAAGGAGGGGTGCCCTTTGGTTAGAGATTTTCATTTGGTGTCAAACGCACCTTGTTGTAAACAAATGGAAATTGAAAGTAAAAGTGCCGCGTGACGGTATATTTTTTCTGTCATGTTTTGTTTTCCAATATCTCGAACTTTCACGACAAAAAGGTCATTTGCCCGAAATTCAATATATGTATGAGTAACAGAGGCTCAAGTTTGTATGGAAGTCTATGGGAAAACATTTAGTGGTGTTTGTCCTATAGAATAGGTATGTATTTCATGGAAAAACATTGATTACAGCAAAAAAATCAATCAGTTCCTATTTTTTTGGCATTGAGATCATATTTTAATTAGTTTTTACTATTTCTTAAAAAAATAGAGGGTTAGGGTAAATTGAGGCCCACAATGGGGGCTGCACATGGTGAAAAAATGCTAAATTTTTTGCCCTAGCTCTCATATTTTCAATAAATGTACATGTAAATAATTTTAAGTAAATATTTCTGCTGAAATTTACTGTGAATATTGTAAATAATACAATATTGATGTTTATGGGCATCATCAATACACAGAACATATGAATATCCCCCTTGCAGTTTGAGAAATTCATTTAAATCCATTTATTTTATGAGTGCAGACATTGGAACAGATTGACTAATCCTCTTTCAAATTTGTGTAAATTAGAGTTGATTGAATAATTTATAACAAAATTAGACTGCTGTTAAGTAATTAGGTTACTTTGTTTTTAATTAAGGGGCCTAATCCAGCAACAAAGCCAATTTCAGTCCTGTAATCAGTGCTGGTTTGATATAAAAATTATAGTTTGGGGAAAACTTATAGATTACTAGTAGGAAATTTAATTGAGATTACTGTAAAATATATTTTAGCAGAAAATACATTGAAAATCTAAGAAATTTGCAAAATTATTATTGCAAAAATGATGAAAAAAGTGTCTGAATATCCTTCCTCCTTGCCATATCCAATCTGGTTATTCTGCAGAAAAGAGGAGGGGGGGGGATTTTGTACTCTAATGATGCTGGAAAATGAAGGAATTTTATTAAAATGTGGTTTATTTGAACAACAAGAGTCATGCTTATCTGCAGTTATTTTTTTTTAATTTCTTAGATATTTTTAAAAATAATTATCTCAGTAAATTCTATTTAAACATGAATATTTTAAAGCTATTTCATCACTAATGCCTATAAAAAATTCAAAAGATGGTGTAAATAATAAAAAAATAGAATATAAGCTACTACATGCATTTATCAGTATGTTTTAATAAAGTAAAATGTATTTCAGTGATGCATTCTCAAGAAGGAGGAGATTAATGAACCCTCCCCTCTTACAATGAACAACACATGGACACTCTCAGGATGGCCCCTTTGCTTTCATTAAGAGTTCCAAGGTATGGTTTTCCTAGAAAATCTAGTTAATCTCTTAATATTTAAGTTATTTAGAACTTTTGATAGATTATTAGAAAATAAATTTCTTCAGAACTGCAGTTATTTAAGCACTTTGCTTACAATTGAGCACTGTATTCAATCAGACAATATGATTTATCTGCCCTTGGCATTTAATCAATTTATTAATTATGTCAATAATAAGAAATGATATGCAAATGAATATCTTTGCCTTTCATGAGAATATACATATTTAACATCAATTCCATGAAATGTCCATGAAAATTGGCTAAACTGTAGGTCACCCCCATTCAAAATTACAAAATTTTCAGTGGGGATGTATTTGATTCTCTGATGCCAGCAACCCACTGCTGATAGATTTTTTTTAATCTTATGTACATTTGAACTACATATAATTCTCTTTCTTTCCATTGATTATTTTATCTACATTAGTTTTCACTCTTTCCATAACCCAGCTTTTTCTTACAAAAACCTGCTAATTTTCTTCATTTTCCATTAATAACGGGTACCTGCTACCCCGATTGATTAACATGATCTACCTTGAGAAATTATTAAAGAGAATAAGAAAAACAAGCAAAAGATATGCGAGATTAATCATTTTATTTTAAAAGTTTGAAAGAAAAATAGAAAAATGCTTCAATTTATTGACATTTTTTCTGTTTAACAGATGAGGGTCTGATTGACTGGGGTGTGAAATGTAACAGCCAATGGTGTACTTAAGCTAAGACTGTCAGTCCCAATATTCAAGAGGTGAGATAAGCAATGGATGTGTGTTCTAAATTTACTAAATTGACCACTTTTTATAAATGTTTCTTTTACTCTATAGGAAAAACCCCTACATAAACAAATACATGGGCGCAGACATTTTGGACACCCAAAGTTGTGCGGAGGAGAAAATGCTACCTGGCGCGTGATTGGTCAATAAGAGAAAAGACTTGATATGTATTTGACAAGTGAAATAAAGTTGATAAAAATGTAATATCAAGACTTGGGTTTCTTTGAGATATGTAGAAGTTACAGGTAAAAATTTGAAAGGAGGGGTGCCCTTTGGTTAGAGATTTTCATTTGGTGTCAAACGCACCTTGTTGTAAACAAATGGAAATTGAAAGTAAAAGTGCCGCGTGACGGTATATTTTTTCTGTCATGTTTTGTTTTCCAATATCTCGAACTTTCACGACAAAAAGGTCATTTGCCCGAAATTCAATATATGTATGAGTAACAGAGGCTCAAGTTTGTATGGAAGTCTATGGGAAAACATTTAGTGGTGTTTGTCCTATAGAATAGGTATGTATTTCATGGAAAAACATTGATTACAGCCAAAAAATCAATCAGTTCCTATTTTTTTGGCATTGAGATCATATTTTAATTAGTTTTTACTATTTCTTAAAAAAATAGAGGGTTAGGGTAAATTGAGGCCCACAATGGGGGCTGCACATGGTGAAAAAATGCTAAATTTTTTGCCCTAGCTCTCATATTTTCAATAAATGTACATGTAAATAATTTTAAGTAAATATTTCTGCTGAAATTTACTGTGAATATTGTAAATAATACAATATTGATGTTTATGGGCATCATCAATACACAGAACATATGAATATCCCCCTTGCAGTTTGAGAAATTCATTTAAATCCATTTATTTTATGAGTGCAGACATTGGAACAGATTGACTAATCCTCTTTCAAATTTGTGTAAATTAGAGTTGATTGAATAATTTATAACAAAATTAGACTGCTGTTAAGTAATTAGGTTACTTTGTTTTTAATTAAGGGGCCTAATCCAGCAACAAAGCCAATTTCAGTCCTGTAATCAGTGCTGGTTTGATATAAAAATTATAGTTTGGGGAAAACTTATAGATTACTAGTAGGAAATTTAATTGAGATTACTGTAAAATATATTTTAGCAGAAAATACATTGAAAATCTAAGAAATTTGCAAAATTATTATTGCAAAAATGATGAAAAAAGTGTCTGAATATCCTTCCTCCTTGCCATATCCAATCTGGTTATTCTGCAGAAAAGAGGAGGGGGGGGGATTTTGTACTCTAATGATGCTGGAAAATGAAGGAATTTTATTAAAATGTGGTTTATTTGAACAACAAGAGTCATGCTTATCTGCAGTTATTTTTTTTTAATTTCTTAGATATTTTTAAAAATAATTATCTCAGTAAATTCTATTTAAACATGAATATTTTAAAGCTATTTCATCACTAATGCCTATAAAAAATTCAAAAGATGGTGTAAATAATAAAAAAATAGAATATAAGCTACTACATGCATTTATCAGTATGTTTTAATAAAGTAAAATGTATTTCAGTGATGCATTCTCAAGAAGGAGGAGATTAATGAACCCTCCCCTCTTACAATGAACAACACATGGACACTCTCAGGATGGCCCCTTTGCTTTCATTAAGAGTTCCAAGGTATGGTTTTCCTAGAAAATCTAGTTAATCTCTTAATATTTAAGTTATTTAGAACTTTTGATAGATTATTAGAAAATAAATTTCTTCAGAACTGCAGTTATTTAAGCACTTTGCTTACAATTGAGCACTGTATTCAATCAGACAATATGATTTATCTGCCCTTGGCATTTAATCAATTTATTAATTATGTCAATAATAAGAAATGATATGCAAATGAATATCTTTGCCTTTCATGAGAATATACATATTTAACATCAATTCCATGAAATGTCCATGAAAATTGGCTAAACTGTAGGTCACCCCCATTCAAAATTACAAAATTTTCAGTGGGGATGTATTTGATTCTCTGATGCCAGCAACCCACTGCTGATAGATTTTTTTTAATCTTATGTACATTTGAACTACATATAATTCTCTTTCTTTCCATTGATTATTTTATCTACATTAGTTTTCACTCTTTCCATAACCCAGCTTTTTCTTACAAAAACCTGCTAATTTTCTTCATTTTCCATTAATAACGGGTACCTGCTACCCCGATTGATTAACATGATCTACCTTGAGAAATTATTAAAGAGAATAAGAAAAACAAGCAAAAGATATGCGAGATTAATCATTTTATTTTAAAAGTTTGAAAGAAAAATAGAAAAATGCTTCAATTTATTGACATTTTTTCTGTTTAACAGATGAGGGTCTGATTGACTGGGGTGTGAAATGTAACAGCCAGTGGTGTACTTAAGCTAAGACTGTCAGTCCCAATATTCAAGAGGTGAGATAAGCAATGGATGTGTGTTCTAAATTTACTAAATTGACCACTTTTTATAAATGTTTCTTTTACTCTATAGGAAAAACCCCTACATAAACAAATACATGGGCGCAGACATTTTGGACACCCAAAGTTGTGCGGAGGAGAAAATGCTACCTGGCGCGTGATTGGTCAATAAGAGAAAAGACTTGATATGTATTTGACAAGTGAAATAAAGTTGATAAAAATGTAATATCAAGACTTGGGTTTCTTTGAGATATGTAGAAGTTACAGGTAAAAATTTGAAAGGAGGGGTGCCCTTTGGTTAGAGATTTTCATTTGGTGTCAAACGCACCTTGTTGTAAACAAATGGAAATTGAAAGTAAAAGTGCCGCGTGACGGTATATTTTTTCTGTCATGTTTTGTTTTCCAATATCTCGAACTTTCACGACAAAAAGGTCATTTGCCCGAAATTCAATATATGTATGAGTAACAGAGGCTCAAGTTTGTATGGAAGTCTATGGGAAAACATTTAGTGGTGTTTGTCCAGTAAATTCAACGAGTCCAAATCGAAAGTAGTTGGAAAACATATTATGGAATGTCGATCTCGAAACGAAAACTCAATTCGATTCGTTCTGCTCGTCGGAGATTAACGAGGAGACAGCCGAACGCCTGGTTGAATGAGACTACAGGTACCTGACGTTACTTATTTTTCTTTTAATAATATACATGCCTGCGGCATCGGGCGACATAACAATCCAGGGCTTTCCTGTCACCTTGGGGCAAATATTCTGGTATGCTGCCCTCGAAGCCATGTAATATATGGTATATAACATTTTTAAGCACTGAACCCAAATCGATCATCGAACATATTTATCGAACACTATGTACACATATATGTACCGGCGTTGAGTATAATTCCGAAATATCCCGTCCTGTTTCATGGCAGAATGATTTCAGTATGCTGACACTTGTGTTGATAGCCTTTGTTGTATTAAAAGAATTTTTCTCCTCAATTAAATTATCTAATTCCTCTGAATTAAAATAAACAAATCGCAGACCTTTTTTTGACTTTTTAACTTTCGCGGAACTGTTTACGTTTGCTTAGCAACTGCCTCTGTGATTTTCGAACCCGACGTAATTGATATGCAGAATGATTGCACGCGAGGGAACATAACCGTGTTCGGGAGGGCAACATAACTGTTTCCGGGGAACATAACTGTATCCGGCGTGATTCGGCAGTTTTTCAGGGCATATGGATAAAAATATTATATTTGTAATATAATTGGAAAACTTCTTAAAAAATGTTATATAAAAATATACCCTTACCTTTTATTAGGTAGGGGTATATTTTTATTTAAAAAAAATAAGCAACGTTAGCTGCCTGTGAATGTGTCTAGTGTAAAATAAGAAATACTAAGAATGCGGTTAATACTCTACTAAACTACCTCAAAGTTACTCAAAGTGCTAATGCACTTATTACCTACTGTTAGAGACCAAAATTAGTAAATCATTAAGTTTATTTTGTTTTAATTAGGAGGGATTTATTTATGTTAGAAAGGCGAAGCTACAGCATTCACGAGGTGAAAAATGCATTGAAAATGGTGTTAGTTCGATTCATTGATAATATGGCTACAACCATTTGTTTCGCTTTTTTTTCTTGTCATTATCCATAATTCTTAAAAATGTGATTTTTCATATGGGTGTCTTCCTGAGGCCATGTGTTTATTTCGTCCGCCATTCCTCTGTCACACGGAGTTCGAATAACATTGATTTTAGAATAAATGCGACCATAATAACATCAAGACAAGAAATTACTAATTAATAATCATTAGGTAATATTACTTACTACTTTTATTTGTTGCATCGCATCGTCTGATTAATGAAAAAACGCGACTTTAACCCCACTCCAGCAAATCGGGAAAAACTGTTCTGTTCATAGCTCGAGTTTCCTCGTTAAAATCATTCCACTGAGCACGTGGTAGGAATGTGCATATATCTGCTGTGGATAGATGCGTTTATTACCATAATTATATTTAATTTTTCATGGAACAAGTATTGATAATTTGTTGGTTTCTTTAAAACTCAAGAAAAAAGATAAAAAATGTCCGAAACATATGTGTTTACGTTGGGTCTCTTTTTCTGCCGCGATAGAAGTTACTTTCAAATGGGGCACTGCAAGGAGGATGCTTAGCATTTAATTTGAAAATGTTAAACAATGTGCGGTGCATGAAAAACAAATTTTAATTACATGTTTTATATTCGTAAAGTTGGGTTAATATGTCTATTTTGTTTAGCAGTTAGATTAGGAAGTCCATTATTTATACACTGAATTGACGACGGATTTTTTCCGTTATTTCCTGATCATGACAAGGAGCACACGGTGGGTGTGACCGGTCGGCAGGGGATGCTCACTCCTCCTTGGCACCCGATCCCACCTCTGTTGTTTCGGGGGTCCGTGTTTGCTCTGCTCTTATTTTGTTTTGTTTTATGGACTTTGAGATTGAAAACTGTTCGTTATCTCCATATCCTTCATAGAATAAATAGGCAGTTATAGGATTTCCTTCAGGCACCTCACATAAAGAGCTAGATTGTTTGCAATGACCCACATATTGTATGGAGTAATGTTTGGACATAAAAACACATCATGTCTCATTATGTTGACAACGTTGTAAGCTCTCACTCATTGAACATACGAAGCTTGATAAAATATATTGAGTTGTTTCTTTGAAATTTAGAAGCGAGCACAATATTTGCAAAGAAAGGTCCATTGCATATGTTATGTCTATCTTCGCAAAAAAAGGAGTAAGAGGCTATACCCCCTCCCCCGGAAATCCTATGTTTGTTTTTTGAAATAGTGCCAAAGCTTCAAAAATTTTGCATTACTAAGTTGTTATAAATATATTTGGTTGCCCTCTCTCCCGATCTACTGCCTAGAAATGGCCCGACTCAATTTTTTTTTTTTTTACATCCCATTACATGATATTTTTTTTTTTCTTCCTTCAACAAATATGTTTAAATATTAAGGAATTTTTTTTCTCATCTATAAATACGGATCCAATAATTTTTCCCTGAGTTGGGAGGATCACCAAACGTCATATTTAAGATGGTCTAAAATATTAAATTATGTTGATTTTTTTCTTTACTCTGTAGTCTGTAAAATTTTAATTTTTACAATATGGGCAAATAGAAAAAAAAGTTTTTTTTATTTAGTAAATCTCCTAACCCACTCTTACTGATTTCATTCCTTTTTAAATGTTTCTCTGCTGTAATGAAAATTGTTTATTTGACACAGTATACGAGGGGTGATCAAAATGTAAACGATATCTTATGTATTTGATATTTTTATTATCGTTGAAATATTCAAGTATTTTTCAAAGTGTATATTGGAGGTCTTTGATAGTATATTGCATAACTAAAAACACATCCCATTTCAAACTTGCTTTCACCGGGCAACATAACAAGCATATCATATTTAACCATCTGCCTTCCTTCACTAAAACGATCTATCCAATCATTAATTGAAATTATAGGAAGTCATTTGTCTTAATAAACTGTGAACAAGTTCTTATACCCTACTTCAAAGGCAATTTTAAGACATACCATCAATATTATTATATAATAGTCGTTTGTTGAACGAGTTCCACTGAGACAACCATTTTTCGTCACAAGTACCTGCATAATGACGTCATTTTCACATTGTGACGTCACAAACAAGGAGCAAAACTTTATTCAGCATGTGTTATTTATAGAACTTGTATATGCCTATGTGTGCACCAAATTTGTTTCTAATCTGAATTGTGGTTTTGTAGATATAGAGATAGTTCACGTACTTTTTGATCACTTCGTACTAGTAGGAACTAAAACAAGGTTATTCATATCGATTTTATGTGTCTAATTTCTTTGTGTTTCATTGGTGATTATTAAAATTTTGATAGAAAATATAAGTTATCTGAGGCAAACTCTTAATTTTTAACTTTGATGGTGCTCATTTTTCCTTACATGGAATCAAAGAGTTTAATTTTTTTTATTTTATCAATACGTACACTATTTAACAACTGTTCCATAATTACTTCAAGCCACTCTATAACACAATTCCTCTTTTAAAAGTGTTCATATTATTTGAAATATTTTGCAACTGTTATTCTCTTCTACATTTAAAGATTTGTTATGTCCCTCCATATTAAGAAGAGGTCTGGAAAACAAAATTCTGCGCTAAAAATAGACCAAGTGCTGCTATCCATGAACTACTTTCATGGTTCTTTACACTCTTTTTGAAGACAACGGTACCTTGTTTTGAACTTGAAATTATCATTTAAAAGTGCAAAATTTAGACATTTTCTCAACAAATGATTGTAAAGAGAACATTAATGCACAGTTTGCATATTTTTTTTGATTTTTTAAGGCTCTGCTGAATTCTGTAGCTGCGCAGTTCTAAGGAGCATATCAAAAGCATTTTTCTGCAAAAGTATAGATTATATATGCACAACATGCATTCAGTTATGCATATTTATTGTATCTTTATCATAAGGACTTAAAATTAGATCAAAATATATTGTATTTTAGCCATTTGAAGAAATGTTTACATTTTGTTCTCACTGCACTAAAGGTGGCCGGACATCCCCCTTAAAAGAAATACCGGTAATTCTAATGCATGCTGAAAGTTTTTTTTAATGTTTCTGTACAGAACAATTAAATTTTTACTTTTTTTTGTAAAATACTGAATGACATAAAAATGAGTTATTGCCCATTTTTATACATTGTTTTTTTTAATTCTTTTACTTAACTTTATTTCACCTATTGAAAACATTTGTCCAAAAGATATACGAGGGTTGATCCAAAAGTTCGTGAAGTTTCTTTATATTTTATTTATTCACTAGTGAAAATGGTTGAACACCTTTTTCCGTGTTCAGAAAAAAAAGTTTGGGTATGCAGGCACGTATGAACGGGGGGGGGGGGGGTGATATAAGGAAAATACGGTATAAAAAGTTGATACTAGAAGTAGTTGACATTGAAAAAAGTTGGCCTCTACCCCCACCCACCCTCCACCACCACCCCACATCTTAACTTTTTTCCTTTCTCTTCTTTTTTTTCTAATAGCTTGTCAACTTTTTCAGATAAGTAAAAAAAAAATTCTCTGGCTGCCCCCACCCCTCTTTCAAAAACGATGCTACATGGCTGGTATGGGAAAACATCCAGGAGAAATGGACACTCTTCTTTGACTGATGAGTTATTTATAAGCGCCTAAAGCCT